ACTTTTAATCCTTTTTTTTATCATATATATATATATATATATATAGAACAAATAAGATTAACGACCGACTAAAAAACTAGCTGCTTAAAGCAGCTAGTTTTTTAGTCGGTCGTTAATCTTATTTTTTCTATACTTACTTCCTTTACATGGACATTTAATCCTTTTTTTCCTTACGGACGAAGAAATATCATAAAAAGAAAAATTCTCAACAACGAGTTGTTATATAATTATATATATATGAGAGTAACAGAATCTTTTAGGAAACAGGAAAATGGAATGAAATTGAAATGTTTCCTGGGCTAGAGGTACAAATGTAAATAAAATTCACAATCCTGTCCGTTGTTTAAACTTTAAGAACTAGTCTATGGCCAAGATAAGGTCATACTATTAAGAAAGGTGCATAAAACATTTAAAAGGTATGGACAACTACTGTGTTATTTGGTAAATGTTTGTATATGTATCGAGACAGAAGGAGTATTCAAGAGGGTTTCCGTTGTGCTCCATCCACCTGGAAAATGTCAAAGCAAAATGGAAGGTGCCCGGCTAGCCTTTTGATTGGCCTCATGTAAAAATAAAAGATCAACGGCTATGTTGATACGTATGCTTTCAAGATCACAGAGGAGCGATAGCCGACTTAAAAGCCAGTCATTTCCACTGTCATGTTAGAGCTTAATTCTTTTGATATACATCAAAGGATCAAATCTATAAAAAAAAATATAGTGTATGTGGCATTAGGGGATATATGTAGATATATATACGTACATGTATTACACATTGTACAATATAATTATATATTTTGACAATTTATCACCATCGTGAAAAAATAATATGATCTGTAGAGTTTCAGAAAATTGCAAATACAAGAGACCCATCCTCCTTCGGAGGGTAGTGCTTGCCATTAGTGAAACCAAGTGAATTGGTTTGAGCATTTGATTTTTAAGTTAAAATTCTGATAGAAAAGGAAAGAAGTGCTTGTTACTTAGGCGGTATGTTTAATACCTCTTACCTTTAATTGGGATTTAAGACAACAGGCGGCGCACGTACATATATGTGCACACATGTCGGAATAGAAGGGGCTCACGACAAACACGATAACAGTACTATATCATGCGGGCATTAGGTCACTGATAGCGAAACAAAAAAATCCTTGTAAAACTGGTTCATGACCAATCGGTTGACCCAGTCATGTAAAGGTCATGCATATATTAATAATGTGTACACGAGATGAGAAAGATATAATGTAAGAACCGAATTAAAAACAAGTGACCGATATTTAACAAAATCGGGAACGTTAATACTCTACGTTTCCCTGTAGACAACCTGTTAACTATTTGTTTTGTATCCGTTTGTTTGATGAATTAAAACCCATCAGTAGGTAAAGTGTTCCTACCGGCTAGAAAAGAGAGAGACCTGTCGTTGACCCGTTTTGCAAAGTCAAGGATCAGGCGCCATTTTCCAGTAAGGAAACTTAGGCAACACGACTAAACAATGTCAATCGTTAAACTGGGCTGTAACGTACCCATGTTTGTCACCTTAAGAACAGGTTCGGATGTACTAGGGAAACGAGCTTGAAGAAGTCAAAATCAGCTAGGTAACCCAGTCATTGATGACTGGTGGAACTACGTTTCTATTGATATCATCAGACGTCGGACACGGTCCGTGTGTCAGCGCAGCAATGTGGCGATACAGGCTGATGGGGCCACATCATTTATTAGGCTTGTTGTTTTCACTATGTAACACATCTGTCGCTTAATCATTGGTGTTGTGCATTCTTTTCATCTAGTAAATTTCAGACAGTTACCCAACTGTTAAATAATATATTAAATATGTACTAGATGTCAGTATTATATTCAATATTGTCCATAAAAATACGAGGCATCGATGTAACTATTTTTAAATTCAAAAAGTTACACAGAAGGTCAAATAGAGTAAAAAGTAGTGTTCCAGGGGGGTATTCCATTCATAAAAGGTTATAAAGGTTAAAAGGTCAAATTAATTACAAGGCAAGTATAAAACAATCCGAAACCTATGTGAAAATAGAGGTATAGGGGAATAACCGTATTTCATTTAGACTACTTCAATGAGATTAAAGCCTGGCGAGGAATATATAAGGTTTCAATCAACTGAAAGATAGCGTTATTTTTCCAATGTAACGCCCTTCTATAACATTTTAGCATAATCCAATGTCTAAAGGGTTGGGGCTGGTTTTATAACCGATTCTAGAACATTCCATTACCTTGTTGCAGTTGATATAAATTACTTCTTTTTGTAGATAGCAATTTATATTTGGAAAATTCTATAATTTGGTAAATTATAAGCTCTTTTCAAAGTTAGGATAGGTCAATTGCAATTCCATCGAAAAGAGGCGTCATGAGGTTATAAAGTCTGATCGGTGTTACACTTCTAGTCACGCAGTAGAAGAATCATCGGCAGGCATACTATTGTATTCCAGTGATGGTGCCGCAGGGTCCATTTTTTCTAAATAATTTGCATAATTGATATCTTCTACGTTTAACAAACAATCTAATATATTTTATAATCATCGCAGGTTTCCATTTCATTTCGAGACAATGATTTTTTTCCCTTCAAAATGTTGGTTGCATTTAAAGTTTGCCGGTCGCGTAATGTTGTTTTTTATTGTCAACAATATTTATATGCAAGCCATTAACGATTCCATTGATACCAAATATATAAACAAGCAGGACATTTACTTTATTAACACTGCTTCTGACCCATCATACTGTGGGTTTAACCGAATGAATCGTCCTCACTTTTAAAATTGTCACGAAATGTTATCAAGGCTTAATCAAAAATCAGATCGTAGAAAATTGGCAAAAGCAATGAACAATCTCCTTTTGAATGACAGGACAGGATAGTTCAGTTTGGTTTAATTTTTTGTTTAACGTCCTGTTAACATGTCATTAAAGGAAGTGCATCCATGTATGTTGTTTATGCGTGCATGTATGTGTGCCGGAGACAGGTTTATGTTGGTGTATTCGCCTCCTTCTGATAGCGTGGATCTGATGCCGACTTTATAGTGCTATCTCCTTGATTTTCCGCCCTGTCATATTATTATACTGACAACGGGTGAATCAGTTGCTGCTATTTCCTCAAATGCCGAACATTACGCGAGGAATAACAACTATCATTTTAAGGCCTTCGGTATGTCTTGGCTTTGGAACAGAACCCTGCAGTGCATTCCTCACCTCGGCGAACGCTCAAAAATAAAGCCAAAAGAGATGTATTGCCAAGCAAGACGCTAGGAAATAAAAGGTAGTTAGAGGTGGAGAGAAATATAAAGATCTGAACTATTAAAATTGGTGAAGCAGTTTTATTAAGTCCCGCAAACAAAGTGGGGGGGGGGACTTTTTTGTTTTTGCTCCGTTTCTTACTTATTCTTATTCTTATTCTTATTATTCCACTTCCGCGCTTAATCTTAGGAACTACTAATGGGATTCTAACATAATTTGCATACATAATCAGTATGATTTGTAGTTGTGCATCTTACTCTTTTTTTCCAGGTCCACCATCCCAGATGGCCGGCGCTGCCTCTGATTGGCCGAAATCATATGCAGTAATAACATTCGTTTTATTTGATGGAACATAATGAAACTTAGTGAAAGGGATGATAATGTCACAGCACTCTTTTTCGACAAAAAAATTGACTTTGGATTAAAAATGGCGGCAAAATACAGGCTTCTGATTGGTCGAAATCTAAATATTGTTCAATTCTCATGAAATTTGGTATGTAGGTAAAGTATGGCACTATGAACACAACTGCGGTGTTCGTTTTGTGAAAAAAGATAATGGCTGCCATTTTCTGACCTCTGATTGGTAAAATTTTTAATATTGTCTGAATTTGGTATGTAGGAATATCATAGGTCACCGGTCACTTTCGTAACCTGAGTTTCACATTTCGACAAAATTGCTGCCATTTTCTGGCCTCTGATTGGTGAGAATTTAAACATTGTCCAATTTTGATTAAATTTAGTATGTAGGTGAAGTATGGCACTACGAACACAACTGCAATGTTGGGTTTGTGAAAAAACAAAATGGCTGCGTACTTTGCTGGGAAGGGGTGACTTCCACAATTGCTCGCAATTGCAATTCTGGTTATTATTATTATCCCGTTTTCTTTCACTTTCTTCCGCCAGGGAGGTTTCCGCCATTTTTCTCAAAAACTACCGAAAGGAATTGAACGTAACTTAACATGTGTGTTCATGTATAAGAGGCAATACGCATACTCGATTTCTGATTCTTAAAACAAAATGGCCAAAAGAGGTGGCAACAAAAAAGGTTAAAGTTGAAATGTTGTCCGATTTTCATGAAAATTGGTATATAGGTACAATATGACACCACAGATACAACTGTTACGTCCATTTCCGGTTTCAACAAAATGGCCACCATTTCCTGGCCTCTGATTGGTCCAAATTTTAAAATCGTCTGATTTTCATGAACATTGGTATATAGGTACTTTATTACGCCACGAATACCACCGTAACGTCCATTTTTCTGCTTCAGCAATACTTTCGTAGTAAAGGGGTCGTTTGGGGACTTCTGTAATGGTCCCCATTACATTGAGTATTTGCTTTCATCGCTTTTGTGTCCCCAAGTAGAGGACACAAAAGCAAATCCCCAATTCTGCAGGGGTTCACACATCAGTGGCGTCTTACGATATATACAGTTTGTAACAGCAGTTGTATTCTGTTCTCGATCCTCAACCTGTACGGATGGAGGACAGGATAACCAGAACATTTGTTCATTTGTTCATATAAAATATTTCTTCGGCGGTATGTCACTCTAATACAAAATCTAATACATAGTGAAACCTCGGTCGATCACCCTTCAATTTTAGGTTACGTGAGAGTCTGCTTGTAGAGGAATCTGTACACGTCCGAATCTAAATGTTATCGTACAGACTGTCGTACGATTACACAGCAGAATAAGGTGATTGGTAGCGATATGGGGTGAGGTGTGAAGGTCACACAATCTATATATAGATTAGCCAGCACTGATAATTTCTTTCTGGCAGCAAGATGGCTTATACACTAGTGATCCTTTCAGCTCTTTTAGCCACATCGCTGGCTAATTCTATTCAGTTCAAAGACTGCGGTAAGTGGTGCATAAATTCCTATTTAGATTAATGTCAATATACTTTCCAAACTTGTGGCGGCAAAACGGCCCTTTTTGCATTTTAATGTCAGCTACCATTGAATTATTGTTAGAATTATCTGGAACGGAGGTGCGCAAGGCTACCAGACAAACATTTAAAACCGCCACCTTCCATAGATTTATATGTGAAGCATCGTCATTTTTATTACTTTAATTGCGAGCATTCTCTTAAAATTTGGGTTTGAAGTATTTATCGTAAAACTATGGATCTAAAGAATTCATTGACTATGGAAAAATTGTTATTGAGCAAGACTTTGCATCAATATTGACATTCCTTCTTCACCAAAAGTTTTAATTTTGTACACTTGCTTGTCTTATTAAACGATAAAAAATGACCTTATATGTCATTATTGTCTATATCTATTTCCCCCTGATATGGTCATAGTTACCATCATATTACATTATTTGCGTTAAAATATTCAAAAGTTTGTTCTAGCTAAAAAAGGAAAACCCCGTAGTATATATAGAAGTTATAAAGTTTATATACAGTTACTAATATCAGGGTTATAAACGTGGAGTTCACCTCCTTGAACGAGGTCGAAGTCCAGTAGAACGAAAGATTAGCACATGTGTTGGCCTCGGTAAGTCGTCCGTATTTGACCTAGGTTATCTATAAGATACTCACACTCGATAGTGGACGAAATTGGGTCCAAATATTGCTACTCTAACTGTAGAATATCGTACATAATTTACTCCCTAGATTGCCATTAAGTGAATATTTGTTTGTTTATATGTAAAGTATTCATACCATTTGATACACGCACATTTTACGAGTAAATGAGGTCTTGAAAAGCTTGTTCTAACATTACACTGGAATTTTTTTTTATTTCATGAAACGGTTTTTTTACTGTAGTCATATACATAGATGTTTGTGAAAATATCTAGATTGTCAGGAACCAACGGCCTATCTTAACACAACTGCTCCCTCAGTTTGTTAACTTATTATCAAATCATATTTAGACGTTAACATATCATTTTACATAGGTCGCCATCCCTTAGGAACCCCCGTCCTACTACCGAAAACTGTTACAATTTTTATTACTAATTAACTTTACAAATTTATTTCTAGTGCAAATATAAGTGTTATTTAATCATTTCTGAAAATTCTTGCAAAATGTTAATGCAAACAAATAATGAAGAAAACAAAAATAAGTCAACTACAGTAATCTGAATTTAAAATATCAATAGATCAAGACCTAATAGTTTCTATTTCGATGCCCTGTTACATTCCTTTTACTATTAAAACTTCTGATAATAGCGCTTGCATGTGTCAATATGATGAATCAGAACACAACTTAAAGAAATAAATGTGATACAGAAAAGAAAAAAAAAGATATTTGATTATTTTTATCAGAACAGCAGTGACCTACTTTTACAATATTGACTTTTATAACTAGAACATATACTTGTAACTACCAAATAAACATTTTAACAATTCGAGCTAAAGCTCTTCTTCAAAGACTTTAATAGCAAAGCCTTCTTTTCATTTTTCTATACACGGACAGATTTTTTCAATATGGAAATCCTGTTCTATAATGACCTAGCCCTATATTTTGAATCTGATGAAAAGAACTAACTGGTTATGACCTACTGAAGCAGTAAAGTGGGGATCCCTACTTCCAAAGGTGCCAGCGTATTGTTATGATCGTTGGTTATGTGACTAAAATGATTGGTAGTTGTTTAAATAAATTATCCAAAAGTTGTTTTCCAAAGCCATCGTTTTGGTGAAGGGGCATATTTGTTAATACCTTCGGATCCAGCAGATCTGGCTTTTAACATGAAACTTAATATTGGAACAGGAATAGGATATCATGACATTGTAGGCAATGTTAAATACAATCACCACAATTATGTTATTTGTAGGTTCTGCCGGTGCCAAAGTTCAATCAGTAGATGTGGGAGGATGTACGACAGAACCATGTCATCTAGTCCACGGGAAAAACGCTACCATGGTAGTCAACTTCACCGCAAGTAAGTAGTAGCTGATTTTTGTAATTAAACAATTGTAACAAGATATAACTTAGCTCTCGGCTTAATATTTATAGATTCCTGCAGGTATTATGAACAGTGTAATCAGTTTGACGTTTTTTACCATAGAATCATTAGTATTACTTGCAATAAATTTAATTTCAAAGAAATGTAGTCATGATTTACTTAAACATTCTTCATTCCACCAGTTGCTGTATTGGTATTTGTTACAGTAGTATTGTGTTATAAAAAGAAATGAAAGTGGGGAAGCACATTTTTGAATAGAAGTCATTAAATCCGTACCGAGATTGTGACCAGTTAAAATATAAAATGGTATATTCGTTTTCCTTCGTTGCGGAATAATATATTGACTAAAATTATCTCCAGTTCCGAACTGATATGAATGCTTTAATAACCTATGGATACATATGTAAGTGGTAAGATATAAAATAATGTTTAAAGCCAGTACGTCTTTTTCCAATTGTGTGTTTCACTATAAATGAGTAAAACATTTATATATCTTTTTGTTCTTATATTTTATAAATGATTTATTATTATATATATATGTACAAGAAGTATGTTTAGCGGTGCTTATTTATAACGAAAATAGGACACCCTTTTTCATCTAGCCTGCATGTTTCCCATGCTGTCATTAAGACGTAATCAATTGTAGCTTATGTGAAAGCATTTGTCACATTACATCTTGACGACGTTGACATGGAAGGATTAATTTGTTATGAACTTATTTTGTATTTTGACGACGTTGACATGGAAGGACTAATTTGTTATGAACTTATGTTGTATTTTGACGACGTTAACATGGAAAGGCTAGATTTTTATGAACTTATGTTGTATTTTGACGACGTTAACATGGAAGGGCAAATTTGTTATGAACTTATTTTGTATTTTGACGACGTTAACATGGAAGGACCAATTTGTTATGAACTTATTTTGTATTTTGACAACGTTAACATGGAAGGGCTATTTTTTATGAATTTATTTTGTATTTTGCCGACGTTAACATGGAAGGACTAATTTGTTATGAACTTATTTTGTATTTTGCCGACGTTAACTTGGAAGGACTAATTTGTTATGAACTTATTTTGTATTTTGACGACGTTAACATGGAAGGGCTAGTTTTTTATGAACTTATTAAACAATCGGATAGTTCTAAGTTTAATGTCATTGACTCCCGGGGAAGTAATACTGAAAAGGGCATGAACTGTAACAAGTGGGACTGTCTTCAGACACGTTATACACCACGGCCAGGTCGTATGTCTACCAAACACAAATGTAAGGTGTTCTACCCCAATCCCCCTCCACCTACACCCTCCATCTTAAATTCTTGCAGGAAAAGTTGCAAAATTTCTGTTACCATAATTTGTGCTGCTATATGTCCTTGGCTGATTTCAAGAGCCAAAACCAGTACTTACAATTTATCTTTCCTTGTTTAAAAAAGAAAAACTGCTGTGTTCTGGTAGTTATAATCATTAAATGTTTCTACCCATAATACAATTTTGATGCAAATTATCTATTCTGATGACCGTTTGCCCTTTTATGTACAGGTGAAGACGTGACGCACCCGAAGAATTCCTTATATGGTATTATTGCTGGTGTTCCTGTTAAGTTTCCTTCGAATGCGGATTGTTGCACCGGTAAAAATCTCGTCTGCCCCATAAAGTCGGGAACCTCGTCACAGTACAGCATCGCCATCTATGTTTCTCCAGAATACCCAAAGGTAATTAATCATGTATTTATGTAATAAGACATTTTGAACATGATGAATTTCATTAAAGTGTTCAAACCCGAACAAACATGGAATGTAGTGAGGCAACATGTAGTGGGAGCCCCATCAGTTAAAATATGTCGATCCGTTCCGTAATCAGATTAAGATTTAGTTTAGATATAGTTTTGTTTGAAATGGAAAAAAAAAGATAACAAATGAACTTTTCCTTATTTTGTAAAACATTAAACTAAACTTAAAATAAATCAATGTTTTCTCATTTTTTTGTAGATCTCGGTTCTTGTCAAGTTGGCCGTCCTTGATGATAATGATAAAGACTTTCTGTGTATAGTGTTTCCTGCCACCATCACCGACAGTTAAAGGGGGACAACTCAAACGTGACCCACTGATACAAGCTGATTAAACTGCCATTTTCTTTGACGTTTGTTTATTTACAAAACAAATAAATATTAAAAGGTTTCAATAGTTTTGTTTTGCATTTTACATGTAACATATACACTGATTTCTAATTATTCAATTTTCTATTGATTTACAATATACGTATAAAACTGTCATATTGAAATCATTATAGAAGTATACATCAATCTAACACTTACTTACATCACTACATTACTCTAAAACTTACTTAATCCCTGCATCGCCCTAACACATGTGTACATCCCTAAATCAGCCTTCCTGTAGCACCTACATAGATCCATGCGACATAACAATTTGTTTGATATTTATAGATGTATGTTTCAAGCATTAAAACATACATCTTTCCACCCCCAGTCAACCTTATAGAAAGCTGTTTCCTGATCTAAAAAAACAATAGTCCTCTTCATTTTCCAAATCGGTGTAATCCAATATATGTTGTGTCAGCCTTTTTACTTCAGCGATATTTCTTCAATGAACAAGTCATTTCTGATCAGAATAAATAATATCTGTAAGTATTATTTTAATCTATTCGCGAAAGTTTCTTGATATCGAATTGTCTTGTCTGAAAGTGTCATTATTTCATTTCTTAATCTCCATATACTTTTTAGTTGAAATGTTCAAATGAGATACCCCAAACTCGATGTTGTAGAATCATCTTAGTCCTTTTTTTGTGGAAACGATCGACTTTATTATTTAAAGTACAATTAAACCCGCCTACGTGTGCATAACTACTATCACAAGAATGAATGTTTATAACTATTTTAGTTTATTGGTTTTGTTCTGTAGAGTGTTTTGGGAATACAAGTTTGTTTTATTAAAAATGCATTTATTACCTTTATTTACCTTACATTCTGATAATCGTCCGTTTGAATATCGATTGTGTTCGGTCACCTTTACTTTAGTTTTACCATTGGTTAACAAAACTACACCTCTTGAGGTTGGGGTGCAATTTTTCCATAAACTATCGCCACCTCAAAAACCTTTCCATTCTTTCGACCATAAAGAAATGTTCTTTATGACGCACATTGCATTTCTTGCAAAGCAATAAAACTTTGTAACTAAACTCACGACTTTTAAAATGTATCCTCTTCCCATTTAACGAAAATATGTCATCACAGTATATTTTGATTAGATAATATAATAGTCAAAAGATACCGTACAGGTTACACGCTGTCGTACGATACTATATAGCGGAATGAGGTGATAACATATTGATGTGGGCTGAGTAGATCTGAAGGTCGAACTACTGTATATAAATGACCAGATCACCGGGCCAAAGCGTCCAAAGGCAGCAAGATGAAGTTCACAGTGGTAGTCCTCTCGGCTCTGTTAGTCTCAGCCCTGGCTAATCCTATAACATTCAAAGACTGTGGTAAGCTGTGACCTTAATACATTTCTACTATTTTTGTTGACAGTTGAGGTAGTGGAAATATTTTAAAGGAGATTTATATTCTATTTAGTTCCTCAAATAAGATAGGTTACATCATTCACATGTTCGTTTGGAGATTACATATCTCTATAACGTTAGATAAGGGTGCATTAACACGCTAAAACTAATAATGATTATCATGGCTTCCGTAATAGATATCGACTGCTGACTAACTTACAACACAAGGTTCCAAAGATGCAAGTTGGTGATAACTAGTTTAATAGTTGCTTTCATGATTTCATAGGGAATTAATCTATTTCTTTGTGTGATGTGAAGGTCGGGTTTACGAGTTTTACGAATTACGACTTCGAATAATTATTTTTAGCATTTCATCACACTCTTTTTTCCCCCTGTGATGACACAAACTTGGTCTGTGGTAGAGTTGTGAAACTGCTGTAAAAACTCAATAGCTATTTGTAGCAAGTTATAAGGTAAATGTTTAGTACCTCTAAGTATAAATCACTATCTGATAGCATACGTACTTTCAGTTTGTTCGTCTTAACCAACATCTTGTTTGTGTATGACTGTTTTCCGCCCATGTTTAGACATTTGTAAAAGGAGCGGTTTTCCACTTTAAAACCAACACACAGGTTCGGTGATCTTGGGTCCATTGGGGTCTTATAAATTGATGAACATTAAGTATGGCAAATGAACATAGACTCAAGGATATAAACTTCAATATCTTTTATTATACACAAGTGTAAAGAAATATCAGTACAATACACGATAACATATCTCACACCCTTACGCACACGATACAACACCGTTCATTAATACTAGTGGCTACGAGGCCTACTCCTATAAGCATAGACGACAGACTCTACGTTGGAATTCTATATAGACATGTGTACAGACTACTTTCTAATTCTAACACTAAACATTATTGCTGTCCCTACATTATTACCTAACGAGTCCTAGAAAGAAGGAGAGAAAGAGTGAGTCAGACAGTCTTACGAGGACTTTACTTCTGACTGACGAGCTCTAGAAAACCACCGCTTTATATAGACAGACACACGGCACTTTGCACGTGCAATAGTCGCGCAAAAGCTACTCGGAACACTTCCGGTTACGTAACTAGGTTCCGAATGTGGAAACAACAAGATGGACGACGAAACGTGGTGAACTGTCAATCGTAAATATCGAATGTTAATTAGTATCCGAATTATCTCCACTTTTACACAATGTTAAATAAAATCGCCACGTTTATGTTATTTGTAGGCTCTACCGGTGCCACGGTTCACTCAGTAGATGTTGGAGGATGTACGACAGAACCATGTCATCTAGTCCACGGGAAAAACGCTACCATGATAGTCAACTACACCGCAAGTAAGTCGTAGTATCAGATCTGTACATTGTATCGCAGGAGTTCTGATGTTTGAAACAAACAGTACAGACAAATTTGCATCTACTTCTTTCAAACAAAAAGGAAATAAGACTTTTGATTATTAATCATGTTTTGGTAATTTTAATCGTTTCCTACATTCAAATGTGTTTGTTGTCCCCAATAATGCTGCCATCGTGATCTATGTTATAAGTTTAGTAACTTTATACCCCTTTTATGTACAGGTGAGGACGTGACGCACCCAACAAACGACATATCTGGTATTATTGCCGGTATTCCCATCAAGTTTCCTACCAATCCGGATTGTTGTGCCAGTAAAAATCTTGTCTGTCCCGTAAAGTCGGGAACCTCGTCACAATATACTATCGCCATCTATGTCAATCCTACCTACCCAAAGGTGACTAATAAAGTATCAAAATGATGAATTATTTTAAATGTAATATTTTTAATTTCTATGTTCGAAAACCTAGCTATCATCGGTATGTTTTGTCTTCATAAGGCATTATATGTGGCAAGATGTAGTATCTACTGGGAGCTTTATTTGTTTACAAATGTTTACTCCAAATACATTTTGTAATCATTTGTATATAAGTTATGTTTAAACTGAAAAGTCAACATAGAAAAATAACAACCTAGAGCATGCTACGATACATGTAATACTGTTATTGTAACTTTTATTTTTTCTCTTGTTTCTATAGATCTCGGTTCTCGTTAAGTTGGCCGTTCTCGATGACAACAAGAAAGATTTCCTGTGTCTAGTGTTCCCTGCTATCATCACCGACAGTTGAAGGGAGACAACTCCAGTCAAATTCACTGATGCATATTGCTGAATCTGTTGCTTTACAAAACAAATAAATATCAAAAAGATATGTCATCGATGTTTTTGCTGAATATAGTCATAAAGAAATCTCCTTCAGCCTATCGAATATTTACAATCACAATGAGTCTCCAGCATTATCATTAGCAAAAGAGGTATACCAATTTGGGCCTTCTGATGGATATCACCGATAAAATGTTGTTTTTTCATATAAATACCTTTGTTGTTTTTTCATGTAAATACCTTGGGGTTATGCCGTCATAATATGACATAAAACTAAAATCAGCTTGGTGGCCATTCCGAAATATGAGGGACCAAAATCACAAATGGCCATATTTGACAATACTTAATTTTTGAAACCTTCCAATTGGAATGTGAGTGCGTTATGGTGATATTTCCCCATGGTTTTTGATGACAAGTGATAGAGGGCACAAACACTCATACACTTTAAATTGATTATTGTTAATCTGCAAGTGCCAAATCAATAGCGTTATTTAGTTTACATCGACAGGATTCACAAAAAATGGTAAAGAATGAATTTCGATGTGATAGGATATCCTTGACTATAAAACTGAAGACCCGGAGAAAGCCCGCGTTTAGGCAGGTGACCCTATACATATATATATTTACCATTTCACGTCCGGTCGGGGAATCGAACCCAGGCCGCCTTAGTGAAAGGCAAGTGCGCTATCTACGGCACCACTGACCCCCCCCCCCCCNAAAAGGGTAGCGTTGTTCGTACTAAAGGTCTAAATAACTAAAACTACGAATCAGATATAATTAAACATGATCACAACATCCTTTTATGCTATTTACGTGTACGACAATATAAATAATTTAAATCTCTTTTTCAGGTACCAATACCAATTCAGATGAAATTTGGATAATTCTTAAGAACTCTTGAATATCAATCATTATTCACTTGTATTCTCGGTTTATTAAGAGTACATTCCTTTTTTATGTTATGGCTCAATAACGTAAAAAAATAAGTTAATGCTTAAATAACTAATTTATGTGCACATGGATGGCAATACTTTCAGGGTTCGTAATAGGTCGTATACTTTCCAACTTTTACAAAGCTTCATTGGGAAAATATATGGCATTACATATTTGCAAATGTCCTATTTGAAACCAATATTTGACAAGGGTAGTTGGTATTGCCTGAATAAATAATGTTCTGACAAGTGTCATGCAGATCATGTAATGCTACAAAGCAATAATGAAAAAAAAATATGTGAAAAAAGTAGTCTTCCTTTATAGGAAATGCAACTTTTTAGTTAATTAAATAATTGATATATAACATTAGCGGATGTGCATATTTTTAGGATGTGACTCAAATTATATTGTTATGAATATTAAAAGCAAGGACTTTGATAGAATCCAGTTCCATGTTGAGTCATAAATTATAACAAAGATTTATTCTGCCAAAATATAGCATTTTTGTAACAGATCGGTTATTTGTTCTGTTGCGAAATGCAAATTCGTTGCAATTTTTGTAATTTTATATCTCAATATCATTTTTGAAATAATATTTCTGTGTTGAATTTTTCCAACGTTATCTGACTAATGTTTAAAATGCTTATTTTTTTTTAAATTATAACTTATTAATAACTTCTTAGTGCACTGTCATATAGTTCCAGAATTATTTTATAAACCCGCACTGTGTCACACGATGCAATCTTCTATGAAATGGTTGTGAAATCAAGGTTTTTGCTTTCTAGAATTGAAAGTCTTTGGAAAAATAAACTGATTAAAACAAAGGTTAACTAAGCCTACATATCTGTTACAGAGTTAGATAGATGTATATTTTACAGAGTTAGATAGGTATAGTATTGTGATATATACAAGTAAATATTGTATTGGGGTAGATATGACTTTTATGGGGTTAATAACTATTCAATAGGGTAAGAAAGGTATTTGTTGAAGATAGATAGATATATCATGGAGTATCTTCCATCCGAGTATCAGTTTATAACAGCGAAGAAAATGTAAGTATTTCACGGGGCTCGACATATATTGTTTGTAGGTAGATATTATGAGAGTTATGGTATTTAACAGGGGTAGATAAGTATTTTAGGATTGAAATATGTATTCTATACGCGGCTGTTAGGTATTTTATGGGAATAGATAGTTTATTTTATAAGGATAGATATGTCATTTATGGGAATAGAGGGATATTTTATGCGGTTAAGAGAAGGATATTTTGAGAAGGAATAAGTATTTCATTGGTGTAGGTAGGCATTTAATGGGTACAGAGCAGGCATGTAATGGGTAAGCTAGTCATTTGATGGGTGTGGTTACGTATTAATGGGTGAAGCTAGGCATCTAATGGGAGTAGGTAGGCATATAAGGTAGGTAAGCATTTTATCGGTGAGATAGGCATTTAATGAGGGTAGGTAGGCATTTATTGGGTGTCAACCCCATAAAACACTAACCCCTCCCCCTCCTCCGTTCTCTTTAAAAAAGAGGGAAACAAATAATACATGGAACACCTATCTAACCTACCTTCAATGTAATGTTGCCACAAATACCTAATAGAATCTACTACAATAAAAATACTTATTTATTGGTTTTAAATATCCATCACCCTTTATGTAGCAATAAGTTACTAATATAATTTAATGCAATACCTATCTACCAAATAAATTATTTATTAAAGCCTTTAAAAACCTACATTTCCACAAAAACAATATATCTACCGATACAATCACCATATGTTTATACTGTAGTCATAAATTATATATACCTATCTATCTGTATCCTCGGCACTCCAGGGGTTACGCTCACTTTCGCTCTCTGCATCCCTAGAATATTTCGTAGCTAAATGGAAGGCTCAGTGTGGTCACCTTATGGATAAAAAAATACTAGCTTGATCCTTTGATGTACATCAAAAGAATCTCACGGTCGTGTAACAGTAAAGGGGGGTTTCCAAAATGGCCCCTCCTTTGATTTCAATTTTCTTTTAGTGAACCTTAAACCTTGTCACTACAAAAACATCCGTTAAAATTCAAATTAGTGCTTGGTTCCTTTTTTTTCGTAGAAGCATCTGAAATTCTCAAAAAGACGGAGTATTTCCCCAAAAGACGAATATTTTCAAACTAACAATGCACTGAAGGATGATGAAACCGAAACAAGGGATCATATACTACAGTATACATATAAAAAAACACTTGCTTGGTTATTTATCAGATATGTACAGACAAATCAACAGACAGAAGCCATCTCAAGCAGTGATATTTTCCAGACAAAATATGAGTTCATCCTAGAATAAAAATATCTTATAACTTTTGTATACCAAATAAATTTTGATTATAGATGGACTAGGTTCTGAACTACGATTGACAAAAAAATCAATCCAAAATATGTGGTGGAACATATTCAAAGAAGGGATTAAATGACTAAATGGTCTAAACATCAAAATGCATGACTATATTTATAGTCTAATCATTACGATTGAAAACAGACAGAAAAGAAGAGAAAGTGTTCCAGTTTGCATGGAATGAATATTTACTCAACAAAGAAGATGTTTGGAAAAGTTTCGATGATTTCTTTTCAAGAGGGCCACCAAAACATTCATTTCACTGCCTAATCAGTTGTCAGATTCATAGACAACTATCAACGGAATTCAGAGATTGTGTGTTTGCTTGCTTGTTTGTTCGTGTGTCTATATATATATATATATATTTAATTCAGACACCGTATTAACAGCAGATGACATTGACATATAATGTTTTGCAAGATACAAGAGTATGAAATGTGTTCGAATGACAGACTTGGAAGGAAGAAACAAATGATGCAAGGCTTTGTGTTTGTTTTCAAACTGGTGATTCTAGATTTTCAAGAAAACAACTTATTTAAAGCTTTGTTGGTACTTTTTAGCCCTTGGGTGCAACTGCTTTAGATTTTGAAGTTAATGAAGTATACTTGATGTAGGAGCACACATACCCAAAGCTCTTTGACCAACTTGACATTGCCAGTAGTAATCTTTTATTGGATTATTATCATATTTGGTGTCTTGTACTGAATCCACATATTTTATTTAGTCTGGCTTTTGTGCCTGGAACAAATCGGACAACGGATGACGTCTTGAGAGTGCTGATACATCCATATTTCATAATCTTGAAAGTGTGTGTGTGTATGTGTGTATGCATGTGAATGTATGATTTTGTCATGTCATAAATATTATGTAAAAAAAATGGTGAAAATAAACAATAACAAAAAAAACACCAAAAAAACAATTCATAATCTTCGCGAATTCTGACTTTGCTCTCTTGGAGAGAGCTAGTTGTTTTTCACCACCTTGGCCAAAATGTATGTTTTTGTAAGTAGAAATTTCATTTGATGTGCAAGATCTCTGTATTTTCCGCAGTTTCCAGTTATCTTTGATAAATTGGTCCCCGTATTCAATTGATAAATACAGTCACAATCTTTAGCACTTCCTAAATTATATCAATGAAGCAATTTGATATCAATTGAGTTCTAAAAATTATTTTTTTAATATGATTATATGTATCCATCAATCATTAACAAGACTGAAACCACACCACGTATAGGCAAATCTGACCATGACATAGTCTACACTGAAATTGACGTTCGACTGAATAGAATAAGAAGAGAACCCAGAAACATATACCTTTACAACAAAGCTGACTGGAACAACATAAGAAACGACCTCACACTTCTAAACACAAAACTTAACGAACAACCTAACCATACCGCAGACGATCTTTGGAACATGTTCAAAACAACGCTTACTAATTCAGTCACCAAAAATATCCCACAAAAACACATAAAATACAAATCCAAACTCCCTTGGATGACACATTCTCTCCTTCGACTCATTAGAAAACGTTAAAAAAAAATACGCACGAAAAGCAAAACAAAACATGAACTTATACAGAAATACAAATCAGCAAAATCAGAACAACAAAAACATACACGCAACGCATATCTTAACTACATAGAAAAAATGATAAAAGACCTACCAATAGCCGAACCCAGCACACCCTTGCATAGCAAAATATTTAACTGCAAAAAAACTATTCTCCTACATGAAAACCACAAGAAAAGAAAACACTGACATAACTGCATTACGTAAAGACGGACAACTAAAAACTGACACTACATGCAAGGCAAACATACTAAACGAATAATTTGAATCTGCCTTCACCACAGAACAGGACTGCCCCATACTAGACAAAGGACCTTCTCCACACCCTCTCATGCCATAAATACACATAACAGAACAAGGCATCTACAAACTACTCAACAACATCAACCCACATAAAGCAACAGGACCTGACAATATACACGGCAGCATACTTAAAGAATTTAGTGACATCACAGCACCCATTCTCACAAAAATCTTCACCCGCTCACTCACTACAGGAACACTACCATCAGATTGGAAACACGCAAACGTAAACCCATTATACAAAAAAAGAAGACAAGTATAGCCCAGCAAATTACAGACCAATTTCACTAACCTGCATCATATGTAAACTCATGGAACACATCATAACAAGCGCCACAGTGACACATCTGGAGAACAACAACATATTATATGACCTACAACACGGCTTTAGATCCTACAGATCCTGTGAAACACAGCTCACCACATTCATACATAATCTAGCATCAAACAACAACATCAACAAACAGACAGACATCATTATGGACTTTGCCAAAGCTTTCGACAAAGTCCCACACAAACGACTACAATACAAACTCAAATTGTACGGGATAACAGGGAACTCACATGAATGGATTACAAACTTTCTCTCATTCCGCACCCAAACAGTAGTACTCGAGGGCAAACAATCAGACAAAATACAAGTAACTTCTGGGGTCCCCCAAGGAACCTGTTTGGGCCCCATCCTCTTCCTCATCTACATCAATGACTTCCACGAATACATGAAATACAGTACACTTAGACTATTTGCAGACGACAGCATCATATGCAAGACGATAAACAACAAAGAAGACACACTAAAACTACAACATGGCATTGACGCAGCAGGACAATGGGAGACGGACTGGCTAATGAAATTTCACCCTGACAAATGCAACATACTAAACATTACACCAAAAGGCAACAAAATACACCATGACTACAAACTTCACAACCACACTTTACACCAAGTAGAATCCAGCAAACACTTAGGCTTAACATTACAAAATAACCTACGATGGGACAAACATATTAACAACAGCACAGCCAATGCCAATAGGTCCCTAGGTTTTCTAAAACGCAACTTAAAAATAAACTCACCACATGTAAAAAAAAAAAACACGCATGCAAAGCACTAGTCAGGCCAAAACTTGAATACTGCTCTTTCATTTGGGATCCACACAACACAAACCAAATTAAACAAATAGAAAACTAAAAATATGTCAAAATTACATGAAAGTCACCCCATCTCCTGTATGATTATTTTCAGTATAATAAATCATTGACCAAGCTACAACTGACATATTTCCACCTGTCAATCAAAATGGTCTAACGATGACCAGGTATGCATACACGCTGTTAAGGTAATCATGCCAACCCACTTGGAATAATAAGAAAGCATGTGGTTGATTTACTTAAAGAAAATGTTTCATGTTTTATGACCATAAAACAAAAACACTGCAAAATATTGTTTTTTATTTTTTATTTCTGTGACATTCCCTGGTTTTCTGCATCCCAATTTCAAGGCCTTCCACATTCAAACATTCCAAAGTGCCAGGATGAAATATTTCAACTGTTAAAATGAAAAAAAAATGATATAAGAGAACTAAACATGCATATTGGAGCAAATCATTTTCACCAAAACTAAAGGCTGATAATTAAGGAATTTCCAATCCCTATCACTAGTTTGTACTGGTATTGTATTGGTGGTTAAATAACTCCATATTATCAGTTGACAATTCTCAGTAAATATAATTTGTTGGTAAAACTGTCAATATCGTCTAGTCATTGGTTTTCGCGCGTTATATATTTCCGCGCAGCCACTTTATCAAGCTATATGTTGTTACTACGTGACCTGCTGGACACAGCACAAAGATATTTTAGACGTTTGGCCATCGTCTGTAAACTGACACAAAAATTACCGGAAATTCGTCCGAAAACATAAGAATTAATCACCGATTAAAAAACACGCATAAATATGCAGTTTTGCTTAAAACACTTTTTATCTTGCTTAAAATGAATCCATACCTGAAACAAGTCCACTGACATGAAGTTTAGAAATTAAACCAACTAATTGTTTTGACTTACAGTGTATTGCTGTAGCTGTTGAAGTACTTCCTTCCATTTTTGTTTGTGTATTCTGGAAATGATAAAATATCAGCTATCTTACAATGCTTAATTGGGATACTTAGTGTGATCATGGTTTATCAAAGCATGTATAGACTATAGGGGTTATCGCAATACACAGACCATATCGTACATGTATCTATCACAAAGTGAAGCCGATAATAAAATATTGCTGAATCGCAACATGTTCTAACAGTCAAATAGATATGCTAATAACCATAATACAGGCTATTACTAGCATACAATTTAATACAAATGTATCACACAAATGATCTCAGATTAAATGACAGCATTTTGGCACCCATTAAGCCCAATTATCAGAAAATTTTACCATTTTTTCCTGTGAAATTATATTGCGACACTATCGCAATATTTTCCTTTTGAATTGTAATATATTCTAGTTAGCTCAACCTACAGGGGCTTGTATAGACTTATACGATAAAATTAGCTAGAAATACCTATATATACATGTATACATATTTCTAGCTAATATGTATCATATAAGTCTATACAAGTCCCTGTGCTCAACCTGTATTGTTACACCTACGTTACCTTCAACCTGCAAGGGGAAGTGGAGAAACTCAAGAGAAATGTTCTGTGTTACAGATAGAAAGATCATTGATCTTAGGAAATATTGTGAAAGGAACCATGATTTGCAGAAAGAGCTGCAAATACCACAATACCCTCAACTTTGTTTACATCCCTAAATTAGACCGGATCTTTGTTGGTTGATTTCATAGAAAAGAAATATATACATGCACAACAGTGCAGTTAAACACATTTGTCCTTACGTTTTGACAGGAATAGTATTGGCAATAGCGATATATATACATAAATATGACAATGCCGTGAATGAAATCATAATATGACTGCTGAAAATGGTATGTGAATTAAAAAAAAAAAAGCAATTTCCATAAATGTCGTCAACTTTTTACTTTGGACGAACTCGATTCAGGCGTGCCGGTTACCGCCGGGAAGGCGTGCAGGCACCTACCTACTGATTACGTTTGTCCCCTTGTGTCCGCCAAATTGCGCGTATGCTTGAATGTAGGGTGCCGGCGGCAAGCACAAACCCGGCATGTCAAATCAAGTTTGCCCTTTTGCTAGGTGACGTTTTCTTTTGTCACTGCGTGAATAGATGATAAAGAAAAAGAGACGTTATTGAGCTTTTGTACCTGTACTTTTTATCAAAAACAAATACATTGGTTTAAAAAGAAATTTTACAAATGTAGTCGTTGGTCAGACATAAAAATCTCAATCAATCAATAGCAATATATAATATAACAGTCTACCCCTTCGGGAACCTCAAAGATGACTGATTCATATTCGGAACATATTCAGTTTGAAATTCGGAACGCCTTTTGGTTGTATGTTAGATCTATTCCTAAATCGATACCTAGTTATCCAAAAGCTTGTAATTTGCGACAGAAGCAAACACACGAAAGCCGAAAACTCTGGGACTGAAACCAAAATGAATAGTCCCCGCTGGGGTTCCCCCAGGGGTAACTAAAAACAGAACGAAGAGCAGCACGCTACAATACGTATACAACAGATACCACAACACTAGCTCCGTAACATATATGACCCACGCACTACAATGACCGACACTACAAACACGGCGCTGTCACACGGATGATCAATTTTCACAAAATTGTACACCAAATCGTAGCTATAAACCCAACATATATACTCACACCCGTAGACCCTTGAATCAGACATGCACACCCTCACGCATACAAACATATATATGCTACAAAGGACATCTACAAATATTAATTCTTTCCACACACAATAACACAATGGCATCTCCTTCCCATAGCAGCAGTACAATGCACAACACTAGAGGACTTCAAGGCACACTTACCCTATGCAGCCCTTAAATCCCTCACCACGCGCTAAAACATACGCCAACTTTTATCTTTTATCTATACCTTGCACAAAAAAAATCACAAAACCCCGAAACTAATCACTGTAAATAACCACCTTTTTAACGCCTCTGTGCTAGGACCCCCGAATAAACATCACCATTAATGGAGCCCATGTACCATAAGAAGAAGATGTTACTCCCCCC